CAGTGACAGACTTCCCCAGCCTTCGACCCCCTAGGTGGTCTGGGCAAAGGCAAAGCATGGACTTGAACTGTGGGTCGGGCAGCTCCTGGAGCAATCACTCACTCGCTGCAGGGTGTGTGGGACCTGGGAGAGTGTACACTTCCCACCCCCAGCCAGAGAAGTCCCTGGGGCTTCTGAGTGAGCACCTTCTCTCTGCTACAGGTTCAGGGAGGGCAGAGACTCAGTCTGTCATGGTGGCGGAGTCCTGGTTCACCTGCTCTGACCTCAGGGAGTAGATGGGAAATACCTGGCTCTCTCTGCACATTTCAGCTTGGGACCGTGGTGGTGTGGGCCAAGCACTGACTCGAACCCATGGGTCCAGCAGCTGCTGGAGCAATCGCTCTCTCTGCGCAGGGCTCGTGGGGCTCAGAGTCTGCTCACCCTGTCCCCAGCCAGAGAAGTCCCTGGGGCTTCTGAGTGAGGACCTCCTGTCTTCTGTAGGTGCAGGGAGGGCAGAGACTCAGTCTGTAATGGCGGCGGGGTCCTGATTCACCTGCTCTGCCCTCAGGGAGTAGCTGGGAAATACCTGGCTCTCTCCGTGCATTTCAGCTGGGAACCGTGGTGGTGTGGGTGAAGCACAGATTTGAACCCATGGGTCCAGCAGCTCCCAGAGCTCTCTGATTGTTTAATCAATTTTACATTTTTGTCTGGTGCACTGAGGAACTTCATTGAAGATAACAGGATATAATGTAGGAACCATTGTAAATTCCTGTCATTTTGTTTTGAGGTCATGTATCATTTTTGTTGTTTTTGTGTTGATTTGATTTTGACATCATTGTTGTTTTGTCAGTTTTTCATTTTTAAAATTGAAGAAAAGAATGAAGGTGTTAGAGTATTTCTGGTGTTCTTGAAATGCCACTGGATTTAGAAACAAGAAACATTGGTTCTTACACTCTAACTCTGGCTTGGTTTGTGAGGGACTCTACATCGACTTTTCCCCCAGGTACACTGAGAAGACAGGCAGTGTTTTGAGCTCCTAAGTTCCTAAGGGCTGCCTATGGTTATTGGTATTATTTCTCCAAGGGTAAACTCTCTAATCTCTACTTCAATATATAGTTCTCCCAAGACAGCCAAAGGCAATGAAGCAATTATATCATGTTTGTCTTTAATTTGGAGCTGGAGATAGAACCTGCCCCATCATGGTTTGAAAAAAATTAGAACTCACACTGGTTTCCCAGGAGGTATGATGAAATGGATATACCTATATCTGTCTTGTTTTTTTTTGACCTGATGTCTTCTGCCTATCTCAGTTGAACTTTGAGTCCCTCAAAGACTCCACCTGTTTCCATGTATTCCATGTCTTCTAGAAAGAAATGAAAAACTGTCTCATGACTTGTGACTGAAGGTATCTGTGCTCATCAATCTAAGGGGCCACATCAGAGCAGTAGAATTTACATTCACTAGCATGTCATTGAATATGTTTGTGTGTGTAGATGTGTGTGCCCTATGTGTGCTACTGATCCCTAAATTCTACCTCATCCCTGCACCATAATATGACAAATGGTTCCATGTAACTAATTTTGAATTTTCTATCCAAACTTGAGATAATGGGGCACAGCCAGATCTTCATGTAGAATAATTTATTGTAAAACAATCCTATCCTATGTCTAACTTTTGAGACAATAGGAGAGAAACATATCTCCTTTGCTGATCATTAACCTCCAGGAAGTCTGGTGGGTTTCCTCCAATTTTCATACCAAATGTCTAATTTTCTTATCTCTAGTGTCACAAACCGGGTGGAAGCAGACATTATTTTGTATATCAACTAATGCAATAACCTCTTATACAAATTTCTGTTGACATTCTTGCCTTGATATAATCTGATCTCTATGCAGTAGACAGGATAGTATTTAAAATTTTTAGTCACTTATTTAGACTTTTTCTTGGGAATTCTATTACTGAGATTGAAATTTATAACAGAAGCAGCCATACATAATCTTGCTGTTCTACAATTCTCTAGTTCCATATAGTTTCTACACTATGTCCTGAATTTTCTCTGGCTCTAGTGCTCTAACTGTGCTTTCCAAAACCTTCTCTAGAATGCCAATTTTTATATCTTTATATGACAGGCTCTGATACTCTCATGAAAATAATCATGTTCCTCCCTTAGAGTAAACATGAAGATAAGCTTCCTCTCCACCTAACTTTTTATAATTTGATGAGTTATCTAGAAAAATCATAACTGTACATGCCTTCTAGTTCCATTTCTAGGAATTCATCCTATAGATATATACATCCCAAAGAGCAAAATAATATATAAATGTTATGGTTTGTATTTGGGTGTCCCCCCAAAGCCTCACGCAGTCATGGGGCAGGCTTTTAGAGTTTGATTATGGGTGTGAGAGCTGCACCCGCCCAGGGGTGGATAGTTTGCATATGTAAGGGAGAGGAAAAGGGTGCTTGAGACCATTGCCCTGGTGTGTGTGCTTGTTGCTTTTGCTGTTGTCTGCCACCCTGAGCTGTAGCTCTCTGCCATGTGCCACTCTGCCTTATAATCTGCCAAGTACGGACTGAAACCTCCACGAACTGTAAGCAAAATAAACCTTTCTTTCCTTAATTTTGGGTGTCAGGTATTTTGTCCCAGCAGCAAGAAAAAAGTAACCAAGATAATAAACAACATTATTTATAGTAGTATTCCTACAAATAACAAAATATTACAAACAACCCACATGTCCACAGGCAGTTGATTTGCATTTCATTGTGATAAACTGATTATTATCAATAAGGTAAAAAGTAACATAATTCAATGGATAATTCATATGAGGTAATAATGTCACATTAACAGATGTTTTAAAATAGTATGAGAAAGATGTTGGAATTTTAAGGTAGTTTCAATCAAATTGGGAAAATTGGTACATGAATGTTAGCTTTGTTAACTCCCAAAATGAATGAAGGTTCTTAACTTCAGACCCTCTTCAGTGCTGAAAGACAAAGACCTTCAGATTTATGAATCTTTATAAAAATATGGGTTCTGTTTTTAATTAGGCAAACCATCCTGTTCTCTTTTTGTATTTTTTTGTGATTGTTCACATAGATATGCATAAGGCCAACTGATTTGAAGGAGAGAGAAAAAGACTATTAGTAGACATAAGAAATGTTAGAAATATAATGAGAGAAATACGAATTAAGAATCATTACATAAAACTTTGAATAGGAACTGTGAAAAAAGGAAAGGTATTACTTGGTCATGTCAGAGAGACAGAAAGAACGTGTTGTTTGGCAGATCCAGGAGGTGATTAGAAACATCAAATATTCCTGGTGTTTTAAGGACTTGAAAATGCATGAACTGATGTGAATTGAGAGAATATACAAGAGTGAATTTGAAAGTAAAACAGATTTATGTCTCTCCATTCCTTGAACGTTTCATCAGAAAGTGATAGAATACAGAAAATATTGAGCAGAAAAAATTTTTCTCTTAGGAATAACTAATGGGTGTATACAAATGAGACACTGATACTTTATGTTATTGATATAGATTCATGCTTTGAGTCCTTGCCTCAACCTAGAACCTCTTCCCAGATCTTGATATTTTGAAGAAATTGAAATCCTCTACTTTGAAGGATTCATACTTTGCAGCTCAATAGCAGCCCATTGAGTTCTCTCAACTTGATGCAATTCCTAAAAATAAAGCACTAACTGAAGTGTCTTTCAAAAGTTAATAGAGACTAAGAAGACACTGGAAATAATCTATTAGTTTTTGATTAATTGGTTACCAATCTGGCCTTGCACCTAATTCCCTTACCTCAGATTTTTAGCATGGAACTCTTAGGCTTCTCAAGTTGGAACCTGTTCTGAATTAATAACCATTCAGATGTTTCATGGTTTCCCCAAAAGATGTTAAGCTGATTTCCCAATGGGTGAGTGATAGTCTTTGTCCAGATCATCATTAACAACCAACGTGGTAAAAATCTTGAGATATTCAGGTTAAAATCCACATACTGCTAATTCAAAATCATACTTTTATAATGTAGTTGTCTCAATAACTCATTGTCTCATATGTCCACTCTTGCTTCTCCAGCAAAAGAGTAGAAGAGAGCATGAGGAGGGGTAATCAGAGCAGTGCATCTGAATTCATCCTCTCAGGGCTCCCTATCCAGCAGGAGGAGCAAGGCATGTACTATGCTCTTTTCCTGGGCATGTACCTTACCACGATGCTGGGGAACCTGCTCATCATCCTGCTCATCAGGCTGGACTGTCACCTCCACACCCCCATGTACTTCTTCCTCAGCCACTTGGCTCTCACTGACATCTCTTTCTCATCAGTCACAGCTCCGAAGATGCTCATGAATATGCTGATTCATAATAAATCCATCTCTTATGCTGGGTGCATTTCTCAGGTATATTTTTTCTTATTTTTTGCAGATCTTGACAGTTTTCTTCTCACTTCAATGGCCTATGACAGATACGTGGCCATCTGCCATCCCCTGCACTACACCAGAATCATGAGTCAAAGCCTTTGTTTCCTGCTAGTAATTCTATCCTGGGTCTTGTCCTGTGCTGGTGCCCTTGTGCACACTGTCCTCCTCGCCCGTCTCTCTTTTTTTGGAGACAACACGCTCCACCACTTTTTCTGTGACCTCTCTGCCTTACTTAAGCTGTCCAGCTCAGACACGACTATCAATGATCTGGTTGTTCTCATTGTAGGATCAATGGTCATTACTCTACCATTTATATGCATTCTGGTGTCTTATGGCTACATTGGTGCCACCATCCTGAGATTACCTTCAATCAAGGGAATCTGCAAAGCCTTCTCCACATGTGGCTCTCACCTCTCTGTAGTTTCTCTGTACTATGGAGCAATTATTGGGCTATACTTTGTACCCTCTTCCAATGACACTAATGACAAGGATGTCATTGTGGCGGTGTTGTACACTCTGGTCACGCCCATGCTAAATCCCTTTATCTACAGTTTGAGGAATCAGGATATGAAAGGAGCTCTGCGAAATCTACTTAGCAGAGGAACATTTTCAGTGTGAGGGCATTTCCTTTATATTAAGTGGATATGAGACTTTCTAAGTCCTGGACATGCCTTCTGCACCAGGAATATGAGAACTTATAAATCTTTTCTTCTCAGAATTATTGTTTCTTAGTGAATTTTGATTGGCACTCATTTTTCAGCAAGTATTTAAACTTAGATGTAGTTTTTGTCTCTGTTCAGTTGCCTTGTTTGTCTTGAGAGGATTGGGAATAGTCTTTACAAACACATGCATATTTTGCCTTCTTGAATAGTATCCTCATGAAACAGTTCAAGTTTTTTCTAGAGTCACAGCTTTGAGCCATTTTAATTTTTCCTGGGAATAGTTTACTGCCTTTTATACCAAAGCCATTTTTCTTTTTTCAATTTTTCAAAGTATTTAATCTGTTGTGGTCTTAATTTTACTTCTGTATTTTGCGTTGCAACTTTTAAATTCATTTTTGTGAATAATTGTAATGAGAAATTCAGTTCTAATTTTGTTTTTAATATATGTATATATTCTCTCATAAAATGGTACATATTCACAAGATATCATGTGATGTTTCCACAATGTTGAATGTATAATGTTCATATGAAGATCAAATATAGGCTGGGTGTGGTGACAATGCCTACAACACCTATGATTTTGGAGGCTGAGGCAAGAGGATTCACTAGTTCCAGCTCATCTTGATCAAATAAAAACTTCAAAAGAGATAGAGATGTAGCTCCATGTGAGGGTCCTGAGTTTAATACACAGTACTGAAAAGAAATCTGTTTCCTCAAACATGTCTCACTTCTTTGTAGTGAAAATACTCAAATCCTTTCTTATATCATATTTGAAATAGATATTATTTCATCATTATCTATAGTGATTCTGCTGTAAAATGGAACACCAGACCTATTTCTCCTTTACCTTTGAGTGCTTTCCTATCAATTTACAATGCGAGAGGGCCAGGTACCTCCCATCTGATCTCTCCTAATTATTTTTAAAATGTGCTTATTTATTCAATTTTGGGGTCACTGTCTTTATTGTGAACTGAAATAGATTGTATCACTCAAGGTTTACTGTATGCAGGAAGAGAAAAATATCAGAATTCTGAACCATGTATGTCAAATATTTTCCCCATGAACATCAGAAAAAAAATTAAGGTTAATCATGAACATGTAACTGTGTGAAGTTTTAGATCTTAAAATACATTTTTGTCAAGTCAAAACTAATTATAAGGTAGGACATTTGCTGATATATCTTTCAAAACACCTGTTATTAATATGTATTCCCATTTTCTTAGTGTAGGTAACGTATTTGTAACTTACAGATATAAATGTGAAACTTTCACATTTAAAAATGTGGTTAAATGGGGGCTGGGGATTTAGCTCAGCGGCAAAAGCGCCTGCCTGGCAAGCGCAAGGTCGTGAGTTTGGTTCCTGGTACCGGAGAAAAACAAACAAACAAAAAAAATAAATAAAATGTGGTTAAATGTTCATTACTTAATGTAGGCTGTGAAAGCCTCCCCAAATTTTTATTTTAATTTTTCCCAAATTTTATTTTTTTAATTTGTTTATTGATACAACTTATATATACATAATGACCACATTCATTATAGGAAATTTGTATTTTACATGATGTGTCTTGATTCCTGCCCTGTTTTATAACTTTGTGCTTATTGTTCAACTTTTCCCCATTCTTCTACTCACCCGACTCCTTTGTAGTTTGCAATTTCTTATACATTATTCAGATTTTTTGTTGTGTTAGAATGCTGGTAACTAGGAACACAACTCTTTTTCAAGTGAGAAGGCTTAATCACAAATTTAAATAAGACTTTTTTTAAAGCTCGGGACAATGGTCTAGGCAGGATGAGTATAGTATTAAGAAGCCAGTCAGAAAAAGTAGCACACTATATGCTCCCAAGTGTAAAGGCTAAGCAACAGAGGTAATAGAACAATCCATTCTGAAAGTTTGGTGTTTGGGAAGGGCAGGGATGAGGAGTTAGAATGAAGGTGATTTTTAGAACAGAAAATTTATTATGCATGTTTATGAAACCTTACAGGTGTCATTCTTTGTCAAAACCAAGGGAAAACACATTTTTCAAAATCTGCAGAACATAATGTATGAACCCTAATGCAAATGATGAAATTTAGTTAATAATGTTGTATCAATGTTAGTTTGATTACAATAAATGTTCTACGCCATGCAAGAAGTTAATAAGGCAAACTGTGGGCAGCGCAGGAGAGCATGAAGTACAGGAACATCATCTGCTTAACTTTTTTTTCTTTACCTTAAAATAATCCATCAATTTTTAAAAACCTACATTAATTTTAACCTCTCCCCCCAGACCATGAGAAATCCTGTTATTCACCTCTTAATTTGTTTTTTGTTTTTTGTTTTTGTTTTTTTTCCTGTACCAGGAATCGAACTCACGACCTTGCACTTGCCAGGCAGGAGCTGTGCTGCTGAGCTAAATCCCCAGCCCTATGTTATTCACCTCTTAAACAAGCTTGTGATTAATAGACAGGGTTCCAAATGTTTTGTAAGCTTAGTGAATGGCAAATTATATTTCACTGTGCCCTTCCTTTCTGTTTCCCTGATCATCAGTGCAGTAAAACATCTTAGTCTGTATTTATTGGGTATTTGTGATGAATGCCTCTCTGGTTTTCCTGATTTTCAACTCATGCAATTGTCACTGGAAGGCAGTGTCTATATTTTCTACTAATTTATATATGTGTGGGTGACCCATTGTCCCCATTAAAAAAGATATGTGTGTGATTTCCTCTCCGGGTATTTGAAGAAGTGCATGAGTATCTCCTTCTATTGGATGGAAACAGATTAGCTGCTGCTCTCAGAGATAGTTGAGCCTGGTTCCTGAATGATCACACTGCAAAAAAACAGTCTATCCATGATGACACTCACATTGACCCAGGGGATTATCAGTGCTCTTATTGCTACAGAATTCCTTCACTGGAAGTACATGATCATGTCTTTCTCCTGCTTTCCTGCAGAGTGTTGTGTCTTTTAATTATCACATTGTAGACAGTCTTCACAACATCTGGAAATTAATCCTTTCCAATGTTTGTCCACAAATGTCTCCTATCATTTAAAGACTGTTAGCATTTTTTTACTATCAGTGGTTTAATTTTAATGTACTTAATACTAGTGTACGAATTTGTAATTGATGTTCTTGATTTTAAAGTGATTCTTTGAGGAAGTCACCTTGAAAACGGCCACCATTTAGCCTTCTAAATAATAAATTAGAGATGTAGCAATGGGAAAAACAAGAGGTGAGGAAAAGCTGTCTCATATTTTCTGTATGGGGAGCAATTTGTATTTGCATAAATAGGAGTATGCCAAAGTAATTCTGTCTAGCACAATATGATATTAGTACTAATTACACACACACACACACACACACACACACACACACACCTCAAAACATCTTCTGATTAATAGTTTATATGATCATAAAATTGTTCAGGGGCCAGGGAAAGTTTGTGACTTTGGAAGACAGAAGCCAACACAGGCTCCTGGGTGAGATGCATGCACATGACTTAATTAGTATTGTCTTAAAAAACTAAGTTAGGTGTCAACAGAAGTTAGATCATAAATATCAATAGTATATTCTCTGATCACAATTCAATAGGACCCAGTAATTACAGAACTTGAAGACTTTCATCCTCTAATAGAACTTTGTGCTGGCATTGATGAATAACTTATGTGCTTTATGTCACAGTTTAACCAAATATATCTGAAAATTTTTCAAAAGGACTCCCTTGTCTTACATACCTGATGACAGTGTGCTATAATTTTATGTAAGGTTTTAAAATATTTTAGTTTTTAAAATCTTTAAAATATATCGAGTTGGTTGTTTTATTGTAATATGAGATAGAAATTAATTTTAATTATTTCCTACACTAATAGTAAAGTTACTTTTTATGGTTTGTCTTTTCTTAAGATTTTTTTTACATTGAAAGAGTATGTATCTTCTCAGATCACAGTGAAATAAAACTAGAAATCAGCAAAAAGACAAACTTTAGAAATTATTAAAACGTGAAAAATAAGCAATAATCTACATTGACTAATGGATTAATGAAGAAATCAAAAGGGAAATTTAAAAATTTGTGAAACAAATAAAAATGAAAATAATACCTTCCAAAACCCATGGGATATACTAAAAGCAAGTTTATACTAATGAGTGCTTGAATTAAAAAAATAAATATTTCAAATAAATAGTTGAATGTAAGAACTTTAGAACTAGAGGAGCAAGAACAAATTAAACCTGAAATTAGCAGCAGGAAAGAAATGACAATTCAGGGCTGGAATAAATAAGAGACAGACAAAAATACAAATGTTAAACAAAAGGAAGGGATTAATATTTGAAAAGTGAAACAAATCACAAACTTTAAGCTACACTAACCCGAAAAAAAGAAGACCCAAACAAATAAAATCATAGATGAAAAGTAGACTACAGTTAATACTACAGGAATACAAAGGATCCATAATAGTTTTTATGAAGAAGCATATGTCAACAAATTGGAAAAACATGGACAAATTTCTGACAAGATACAACTTACTCAAACTGAACCAGAGCAACACAGAAAAGGTGAATTGGTCAATAATGAGCAATGATAATGTATTAGTAATGTTTAAAAATGTCTATAATAAAGAAAAGCTCAGGACTAAATGGCTTTGCTGTTGAATTTTACCAAACTTAAAAAAGAACTAATATGAGATCTCAAAGTATTCCAATTAGTGTAAGGGAATGACCCTTGAAATTCATTCTATGAGGTCAACATCAGCGTGATATCAAACCAGTTGGTGGCACAAAAAAATAGGCAGTCCAATAGCCTAGTTGCAAAATTCTCAAGAAAATTTGAGCAAATCAAATCTAACAACACATTAATAAGGATTGTATACTATGATCAAGTGGAACTTATCCCAGGGATGCAAAAATGGGTCAACATATACAAATCATAAACATAGTGCATAATTTCAGCAGAATGAAGCGTAAAATCATACTGTCTAAATAG